ATTTAATGTCATTAATATTTATTTTATAAAAAGAATACAATTATTCTTACAAAATTGATTATTAATCTCATTAATAAATTTCACTAATAGCCTAAATAATAAATCATTATTATTCTGAACGGCACTAATCACTCAAGTTAAAGAAAAGGGATTTCTCATCGATATCGAAAATTAGCGAATTAGTAGCGGTTGACTAACGCGCAGAGGTGGTCACACGAAAGACAATATCTAATTCGATGTCACGTTCTGAGGGTGCACCGACTCTGAACCCTTGCCCTTTGCCGCTTTTGTCGGCCGTGCACGCTTCCGCGAGCAAGAAAGTGATTTTCTACCGCGATAACCGTGATTTCTAAGACACCCTGCCTTTACCGTGCAATCAGGGAGCCGGTTGAATGACCGACAGACGCCTTTTGATGTCGAATCACCGACTACGTCCTTTCCACTCGCTCATCTCCCCTTGAATGGATTTCACGCGACGAACCTCTCCTCTTTCACCTGGATTCACGCGCCACCCTCGAGATTTCCCGAGATCTTTGATTCCTTGATAAATGAAATTATCTCTCGTTATAACTACAATGGCTCGGGGAAGTAAAGTTCTAGAGAAAAAATTTTAATAAAAGTTTGTGGAAATGGAAAGAATTTCAAAATTCTTTTAAAACTCGATGAAAAATGTGAATTAATTCCGATTAATTTTCTATATGTATATAAATTAATTTTTATGTATTATTATTTGTATTATCTTATCCGAGAAAAAGATCACTTAATAAATTGATACATAAATTTTAATAAGATTATTGTAATTAAATCTTTTATCCGTGAAATCTTCAAGATTGTTGATCAAAAATTTTTGTTTTTCTTATCTATTTTAATAATAATATAACAATTGCTTAATTTGTATTCGCTCATATTAATATTATCATAGGAGAGTCTTAATAAAGGTATTTCAATATTTTTAGTACATATTCACAGCACAAAACTTCTTCGTCGCATTCGTGTCTGGTGTTTAAAGTGATTTTGCGCTTCTGATGATATTTTTCTACTTTGCATTTCTTACATCAGCCATTGTATCTGAGCAAACAAAACGAGAAACGTGCTTTTCACGAATATTCAGAAAATCTTAGCTTCCGGTGAATAAGAAATGAAAATCAAATAAAAAAACAAGGCTAATGTGCCAAATCAGTTTCGTGGCGGAATAAATATTATCTTTTAGATCTTCTATTCAATGAAGGAAAGAAAAAAAAATATAAACAAATAGAAATGTACAGAAAGTAAATTTTATTTATTTATATAGATATATAGAATATATAGGATATTTCTTATTTTTCTCTCATTATTAATTGCAAGATTAATTTACAAATAAAAATGTTATACGCGTATGAAAATTTGTTATTTGTATATTTTACTATGAAACTATGAATAAATATTAAAGATAGAGAATTCTTGATTACATATAAGTAAAACGTCATCTCAAATTTTTTTATCTTTAATAGTTCTTTACATAAAATTCAATATTAAATTTTATATCAAGAACATAAGACAACATTGTTTGAATCATCATCACTTTCGTTCAAAAATTCCTCAACAATAGAAAATTTTTCAATAAAATTCCCCAAACCACAATCATTTTCCGCTTCAAATAAAGATAAATCCGCCAAGATAAATACACATCCCCTATATTCTATGTGACAGTCAGAAAAAAAGAAGCAAAAAAAGAGGCAAGAAAAATGAAAGAGGAGAAGAGAAATCAAAAGATGAAAATACCGCACCTGACTCACTAGGAACTCGACAATAACCACTCGGATAAGAGTGGCCCTGTGTTACGTTCCGATGAAATATCATAAATCACGTGGCTCGTTGCTCCGTGTCTGAGAAGTTTTCATAGGCGGCCGATTCGACCAAACCCTCTCCTTTTTTTCCTCTCCCTCTCTCGAGTCACCCCCTCCCACCCCTCCTGATTCCACGTCTCATTCTCGTTACGAAGTTCCTCCCGGTCATCAAATTTTATTAGCCCCCGCTTCAAGGGGGCTCGCCCTCTGCTTCTAACTCAATATCGTAGATTTGTAGTCTCGGTTTAACTACGCTCTTCTTCCCTCTTCC